ATTTAAAGAGCTGGAAGGCTCGGTTTCAACAGAAAAGGATATATTGAAAAAAGGCAAAGTGAGACTCTGTCTTTTAAAACAAAACCTGAAAACTTACCTTGAAAAAGGTTTCATGAGTAAAGCCACCTAAGGGAGTTTATTAAATTTTTATTCTTTGTTTTATTTTTGTTTTGGGTAAGAGCAATCCAGATTTCTCTTCAGAATATAATTTCTTTTTTCTTTTTTTTTTTTTTTTGACGGGGTCTCCCTCTGTCATCCAGGCTGGAGTGCAGTAGCATGATCTTGGCTCACTGTAATCTCCACCTCCCAGGTTCAAGTTACTCTTTTGGCTCAGCCTCCTGAGTAGCTGGGATTACAAGCGCCCACCACCAGGCCCAGCTAATTTTGTATTTTTACTAGAGACAGGGTTCCACCATGTTGACCAGGCTGGTCTCAAACTCCTGACCTCAAGTGATCCACCCACCTCAGCCTCCCAAAATACTGGAAGTACAGGGGTGAGCCATTGCATCCAGCCAGAATATGCCTTTTGGTACCATTATTGGCCAGACTTCATATTCTCTTTTACCATCAGCAAGCAATTTTGTTTTCTAGTTATAATTTATTTATAAGCAGAAGGTGTTTTGTGGAGACCTCTGGTTATTAAGCATAGCTCGAGAGTATATTGTATTTCTGGAATTGTCTCATCTTTCTTTTAAAACCTACCTAAAAAGCTACAATGATTGATGTCTGAAAGACTTCAAGCTTCTTAATATGGCTCATTACTTTAATGAGAAAAAAAGATTATTATAAACTTAGTTAAAGCAAGAAAAAGAGCTTTCTATTGGAGTGGTTATTTCACAGTTTTATATCAAAATTATTTTATTTTAAAGGGAATTACAGATAAACCTCACAAGGCCAGGCACAGTGGGTCATGTCTGTAATCCCAGCACATTGGGAGGCTGAGGTCAGAGCATCACTTGAGGCCAGGAGTTTGAAGCCAGACTGGGGAACATAGCAAGACCTGTCTCTACAAAAAATTAAAAAATTAGCTGGGCATGGTGGTGCATACCTGTAATCCCAGCTAATCTGGTGGCTGAGGCAGGAGGACCACTTGATCCAGGCATCTTGGACTGGAGTGAACTATAATTGTGCCACTGTAGTCCAGACAAGACAACAGAGACCTGTCTCTGAAATACAGAACAAAATACAACAAAACAACAACAAAAAAATTATGCTAACATGGGATTTTCTTTGTGAACGCTTACTGCCTTGGTTTCTAAAGGGCAGTGGAGTCATTCGTATCTGATCCACTAATATTCATCTTTAAAATTCCTGAAGATCCAATTAAAATGCCCCTCATTCCCTCCTGAAGCCTCTTCACCTTCTAGTCACCCCTGCCACACACATAGATATTAAACATCTGTGTGACATATGTGACATCCCCCAGCACAACAGCATGTGCCCCCAATCTGTTCCAATCTGTCATAATCCTTTATGCACAGTCTCAAGTCACCTAGTAGACTATTTGTTCTTTGAGTTCAGGGACTGTGTTGTACTCTTCTTTTTTTTTTTTTTTTTTTTGAGACAGAGTTTCTCCTTTGTAGCCTAGGCTGGAGTTCGACGGTACCATCTTGGGTCACTGCAACCTCCACCTCCCAGATTCAAGTGATTCTCCTGTCTCAGCCTCCCAAGTACCTGGCATTACGGGCATGCACCACCACGCCCAGCTAACTTTTGTACTTTTAGTAGAGATGGGGTTTCGCCATGTTGGTCAGGCTGGTCTCGAACTCCTGACCTCGGGTAATCCACCCACCTTGGCCTCGAAAAGTGCTGGGATTACAGGCATGAGTAACCATGCCCAGCCAAATGTTGGGCATCTTTTATTTTGCATCTTCCACTGTACCTATGACTGTGGCTGGCACATCCAAAAAGAAATTAAATACTTGCTGGATTTAACTTAATTCAGTGTCTCCATGAAATTCCATTACCCTCATAGCATTCTTTAGAAGGTTCTATTTTTACTCCAGAGTGACAGTGCCCTGTAACTGTCACTCTGGAATTATTGCAAAAAGGAGAGAAGTTTAGAAGGGACACAGTAACACACATGACATTTGCCTTTGTTGTCTTCCTGCTATTTTTAATAAACATTTTCCCTAGGTGCCCAATTCTGCCATGGAACACCTACCTTGGCACCTCATAAGGGTCCGCTCAGGGCCATCAGTGCCTGTGACTTTTGTATTCATTTGTTTCAAATATCTTTTATACTGACTTTTTTTTTTTTTTTTTTTTGAGACAGGGTCTTGCTCTGTTGCCCAGGCTGGAGTGCCATGGCAATTGGCTGGACATGGTGGCAGGTGCCTATAGTCCCAGCTACTCAGGAGGCTGAGACAGGAGAATCACTTGAACCTGGGAAGTGAAGGTTGTGGTGAGCCGAGATCGTGCCACTGCACTCTAAGCTGGGCAACAGAGTGAGACTCCATCTCAAAGAAAATAAGGTACAGGAAGGAGGAAAGAGCAAGAAGAATTGCTGAATTTTCTTACCTGAACTCTGACCTAGAGTCCAGTAAGTTCTGAAAGTTCTCCCAGGCCCCAAACCCCTGAAATTTTCCTAGCTGCTGCCATATGCCATTGGCTTGGTAACAGTTGCAGCCTCTTCTCAGTCACAAGGGTTTTTTGTTTTTTGGGTTTTTTTTTTGCTTTTGCTTTTTCACTTTTGCTAACATTTAAAAACTTTTAAAATAAAGATTTCCAAACACAAACAGAAGTAGAAAGAATGGTGCAATGAACTCCCATGTACCCGTCACTCAGTGTCAAGAATTATCAGTGAGGTTCCATCTGTACCACCATCCACTCCAACAATTATTTTGAAGCAAATCCCAGACATCGTATATATTCATCTTAAAACCAAGGATTCTTTTTTCTTTAACATAAACACAATACACAATACTATTAACACCTAAAAAGTCAACAATCATCTCTTAATATAAAATATGTAGTCCAAGTTCAGCTTCCTTCAATTGTCTTTTTTTTGAGACAGTCACCAAGCTGGAGTGCAGTGGCATATTCTCAGCTCACTGCAACTTCCTACTCCCTGGTTCAAGCGATTCTCCTTCCTCAACCTCCCAAGTAGCTGGGACTACAAGCGTGCACCACCACACCCAGCTAATTTTTGTATTTTTAGTAGAGACGTGGTTTGACCATGTTGGCCAGGATGGTCTCGATCTCCTAACCTCGTGAACCACCTGTGTCGGCCTCCCAAAGTGCTGGGATTTCAGGCATGAGCTGCCACACCCGGCTCCAATTGTCTTATAAATGTTTTTTCTAATAGCTTCAAGTTTCATATGCTGATAGTGTGTTAGAATATTTTGTTTCTATCTTTAAATATCCACCAATAAGCAGGGTGTGATGTATGCCCGCAGTCCCAGCTACTTGGAAGGCTGAGATGGGCGGATTGCTCGAGACCAGAAGTTTGAGGCTGCAGTGACCTATGGTTATACCTGTGAGTAGTCACTGCACTCCAGCCTGTGCAAAATAGCAAGACTCCATCTCTTAAAAACAAAAAAACTCATCAATAAGTATCCATATATTTACTATGTGGTCAGCACTGTTTTAAGCACATTAAGGAGCTAAGTGCCCATGCTGGGGAGTGGTGAAAAATGGAATCAGATAGACAGGATACGGCTAAAGAGGATATTTACAAACAGCAGAGGAGTTTCAACTTGATTTGGTAGAGAATGGAGAACCTCTGAATATTTTTGAGCTTGGCGTGACAAGAGGAACTTCAGCTTCTCCAGTGAATGACACATTACTGTGACAATTCCCTTCACCTTTCACAATGCCTGACTCCTTGAAGAGTTGAAAGAGCAAGGGAGGTTATGAGCCTTCTATACAAACCTCAGTTCTGATGATGAGAGTATAAAGATAGAAACTTGCCTTTATAGTCAAATGTCTGCAAAGCAAGGGATATACATAAAAATATAAATGGAAATGAAATATAAATTGTATTTAATAAGATATTTTGATGAAAAGTTTTAAAATAGTAAAATAAACCTTATGCATAGCATTAGTGTAAACAAAGAGCATTCATTTTTTTGAGATGAGTCTTGCTCTGTTGCCCAGGCTGGAGTGCGATGATGCAATCACCTTTCACTGCGGCCTCAACCTCCTAGGCTCAAGGGATCCTCCCACCTCAGCCTCCTGAGTAGCTGGGACTCCTGGTGTGTGCCACCACACCTGGCTAATTTTTTATATTTTTTGTAGAGACGAGGTTTCACCGTGTTGTCCAGGCTGGTCTCAAACTCCTGGGCTCAAGTGATCCTCCCCGCCTGGACTCCCAAGTTGCTTGGGATTACAAGTGTGAGCCATCGTGCCTAGCCTCAAGAGCATTCTCAATGGTCAGGAAAAACAACATCATAGAAAATAGCTTTGAAGACCTAGAAAGTGAGTGTTTTCTGACATCTTCTAAATATGCATCTTAAGATTTTTAATTGTATAAATCCTAACCAACAGCCTAAGAGCTAAATATACAGATGAATACCATATAAAGGCAATCTAAGTCTAGTTATTTTTAACTAAGTGGATTATAAAATGAACCTAAGACCTCATTAGAGGTCAAGTTTTTGCAAAGATATAAAAATTGAGCTAGAGTTGGCAGGGACATATGTGGTAGAATTTTGAAACACTTTGTAATCCATGAGTCAGTGCCTCTGGAATGTTGGAGAAGAAAGAATGGCAGTAATCAATCCAAGAGGACCCAAAGGCATGCACTCTGTAGGCTGTTCCAAGCCTATTTTAGCAAGTGCACATGTCTCCAAAATAAAAGGTACTCTCCAAGTGGTGAGATGGCATCTGGATCATACAGGGTTTTGTGTTTTTTTTTTTTTTTTAACTCATTTAAAATCATTGAAATTCAACTAGACCCTCCAAAATCTTCAGAAGAAAAGAATGAATTTCAAATTTTAGAAAGCAGTTTAAGAAAAAGACATAATAGGACTGAAGTTTATCATTATACATATTTATGATCAGTCTTTGGTATTATTAAATGAAACTGACAGATGTTTTATAAAAACACATGTATTCTGGGCAGCTTTCCCTGCTGAAGGGCTGAGAGATGGACCCCGGGGCAGACAGCTGGGCTCAGAGCCGAGCAGGGTGGGGATGGATGAGGATGTGCGACCATCCAGAAGATCCTCATCATCGTTGAGAGTGGGGCAGGCAAGTCCAGCCTGCTCTTGAGGTTCACAGATTATACTCTCGACCCAGAACTTGCAGCAGCAATAGCACGATGTGACTGCAAACAGTATGTGGAGAACGGATGCCAGGTGAAACGCAGGGCTCACTGTCACAGAAGTTGCCTCAAATTCCAGGTGTCTGGAAAGAAATGTAAAGTGGACCCCCTGCTACAAATATATAATCAGTAAAATGAAGTCTATGATACATCAAATGTGCCAAGGGAAGATAACGGTAAACATATGTCTCTTTCCTGCTGTCTAAACTGGTAATTCAATGCTCTGTTCTGTATTTGCTTCTTCAGGCAATCCAGGAATCACATGAATTGTCTATTCACAGATGAAGGGGTAAAGAAACTGCTGTGCAGTTGCACAATGGAATACTCTTCAGCCATAAAGCTTCAGGAAATCCTGTCATCCGCAGCCATGTGGAGAACCCTGTCCATCCACAGAAGGGATCAGAAAATTCTAGTATATATACTAATGGGAATAGCCTTCAGCCATCAAAATAATAAAATTATGTCATTTGGGCTGGGCGAGGGGGCTCACACCTGTAATCCCAGAACTTTGGGAGGCCGAGACAGGTGGATCAAGAGATCAAGAGATCGAGATCATCCTGGCCAACGTGGTGAAACCCTGTCTCTACTAAAAATACAAAAATTAGCTGGGTGTGGTGGCACATGCCTGTAGTCCCAGCTACTTGGGAGGCTGAGGCAGGAGAATCACTTGAACCCAGGAGGTGGAGGTTGCAGTGAGCTGAGATCGCACCACTGCACTCCAGCCTGACAACAGAGTGAGACTCCATCTTGGAAAAAAAAAATTATGTCGTTTGGAGCAATACAGATGAACCTGTCCATCTGCAAAAGAAGAGATCAAGAAACTCTAGTATGCACACAAGGCAAAACCCTTCAGCCACCAAAATTGTGAGATATGCCACTTAGAGCAACACAGTTGAACCTCTGAGGATGCCTCCTCCTCCACAGGCAGATGAAGGCCGTGGCTGCTGCTCCTGCCTGGGTCGTGCCCTGACATCCCCACCGCTTCTCTATTTATACATCTTAATAGGGTTGCTGACCCAGCAATAGCTGAACAGCTGCTATGTATCTCACACTAAGCCAGGTGCTTCCTATGTCTCTAACTTGAAAATTGCTGAGGTAGTTACCTTCTTAATACCATGGAACTTTTACTTAAAAGTTTGTTATTTTATTTCAGAGAGCTTCAAGCAAGTTATAGGGGGATACCCAAAACCAGTGAGGACTTTAATAGGTAAAGTAGAATTTCAGAGTACTATGATTTTAGGAGAAACCAAACCCCAAAATTAAACATGAAGATCAGTGTTTGAATTGAACCGGTCCGTCTGGTGGACACAGGATTTGTGTTATCAACTAGAGTGTTACTGAGGATTCACAATTTCTGGCATCCATTGGTGTTAAGAAAATTGAGTTGAATACCAAATACAGTAGAGCACACCCAGCCTAGAGGCAAGAACTCCATCAAGCAGTCAGGTAGTGCTTTTGTTAGGGTTCTGGGTGCAAGTCTTCCTCATCCCTCCCACCTTCTCCTGGCCTCCCTGTAGACCCGAACCGCCAGGCACCTCAATTTTCTTAAGGCCAGGCTCTTCTTAATGTTGTTAAATTGGTCGAGAAAATGGATGATCCACTGTTTGCTCTGCACTAGTACCACAGCCCGGTGGCTTTAACCTGCAGGAGTAACTGACCCATTTCTAGGCTGTCTCCGCTGTAATCCCAGCACTTTGGGAGGCCGAGGCGGGTGGATCACGAGGTCAAGAGATCGAGACCATCCTGGTCAACATGGTGAAACCCCATCTCTACTAAAAATACAAAAAATTACCTGGGCATGGTGGTGCGTGCCTGTAATCCCAGTCCTCCAAAGAAGCCGGTCAGGTAGAGGAGGTGTCCACTGTGGTTGGAGATGGGGAAAGAGATGCTGCTCAGGTTGAGCGTTTTGTCCACCTGCCAGGCGTACAGGAGCAGGTTGGGGGCCACGCAGAGCGCCCTGTACCTCTCACAGGCCTGCTGGTACTGGATCTGGCTTCCGTTTTCCTGCACCACGTGCAGATCCTGCACCACAGGCGGATCCTGCACCACGCGCAAATCCTGCACCACAGGCAGATCCTGCACCACGCCATCTAGTTTGCTGACTTCTGCAAAGGTGGCCGAGTCCAGCAGTGAGTGGCTGTGGGAGACCACCAGAAGCGAGGTAAAATTGGCTTTCGTGCTCATTCTGGAGAGGGAGAAGCCGCAGGAATCATTGTTGGTGAAACGGCCCTGCAGGAAGCATGCGGACCTTGGCAGGTGAAAAAGAAGCCGCGGGCCAGATCTCCCCCGACTCAACCATTTCCTGGAGAAATTCTAGGGAAGTCTATTTGAGCTTGCCCCGAGCTGCAGGCAGAGGCGACGTTTGGAGCACGTGGTTCGCTCCTGTTGCCCAACTAATCTGGAATGTGTTTGTGGCCTGCCTGGCCTCTCAAGGGTTCAGCAAATACGAGGATCGCTTCTTCAAGGCCATCAAATGCGTGCCTATCCTACAGACTCGCAATTTATCGGGAGAATTTGGGGGTTTCTCCTACACACACGAATAGCACAGAAATTCCACGTGTCCTGAGAAACAGAAATTCCATGTGTACCTTTCCTGGGGTTCACCCAGTAGCAGTTTCAGGTAAGGCTTTTGTGAACCTGATGCACTTGGCTTAGCTATTATTTTTATTCTCTGTCCACAAATGTAACATGAATATAGATTCTCCTGGTAAAAACAAGTAAACACAGAGAATGAAAAGTGGAAAAAAGTCTAAACCTTTCTATCCCATTTCTCTTAAAGGAAGTGTTAAAAAGTGGGTCTATAGCTGGGCGCGGTGGCTCAAGCCTGTAATCCCAGCACTTTGGGAGGCGGGTGGATCACGAGGTCAAAAGATCGAGACCATCCTGGTCAACATGGTGAAACCCCGTCTCTACTAAAAATACAAAAAATTAGCTGGGCATGGTGGCGCGTGCCTGTAATCCCAGCTACTCAGGAGGCTGAGGCAGGAGAATTGCCTGAACCCAGGAGGCGGAGGTTGCGGTGAGCCGAGATCGCGCCATTGCACTCCAGCCTGGGTAACAAGAGCGAAATTCCGTCTCAAAAAAAAAAAAAAAAAAAACAGTGGGTCTACATCCTTGCAAACCCTTTCTATGCACATACATGCATATCAAAGCTATAGCAAATATACCTTTTTCGTAATTATTATTGTACTATTTGTATTATGCAGATTACATTTTTCATCTACGTGGCAGAGGACTTGAACATGTCAGTGCGTATAGATTTATTTATTTATTTTTGACCAGGGTCTCACTCTGTAGCCCAGGCTGGAGTGCAGCGGTGCAATCTTGGGTCACTGCCACCTCCACCTCTCTGGTTGAAGCGATTCTCCTACCTTGGTTTCCCGAGTAGCTGGAATTACAGGCATGTGCCACCACGCCTGGCTAATTTTTGTATTTTTAATAGAAATGGGGGTTTCTCCGTGTTGGTCAGGCTGGTCTCAAACTCCTGACCTCAAGTAATCCACCCACCTTGGCCTCCCAAAGTGCTGAGATTACAGGTGTGACCACACTGCACCCGGACTTTTTTTTTTTTTTAACTGCTCTATACTTTTTCAATGTATTAATGAAACATAATCCAGCCAGAATTTTAATGATGGAACCATAGATTGTTTAGACAATTGCTTTTATAAACAGCATTCAGTGAGCAAATGTCTTTTATTTAGCCTATACTCAGGAACCATATCTGTGAAATAATTTTTTAGAGTGGATTCACTTAGGCCAAAGGATAGGTTATTTTAAATTTTTAGAACTATTGAGAAATTAAAACTCAAAGAAGTGGTATTAATTTGTATCCTCATAAGCAACATATGAATTTGCCATAGCTTATCCCACAATGTCAGCAAAGCATTTGGTCCATGCCACTGGTATCTTACTTTGGTTTAATTTTAAATTTATTGCTTAGTATCCTTATCTTTCTTTTTTGGGTGAACTATCATATCTTTTGTGGGCCTAATCCATTCAATAGTTTTCCTGTTGGATTGCTGAGATTTTCTTCTTGGTTTACAGGGACGATTCATATGCGAAAGAAGTGACCACTTTACTTGTGATCAGAGTCACAGGTGCCCTCCCCTCCACCTCCATTTTGCTCACTGTCTAGGGCTTAGTTGTGCAGTTCATTAATGAATACTTTTCTTTCATGAGTTCCAAGTTTTTTGTCATAATACATTTTTCTTTTTTTGTGATTGAAAATACACCACATGGATTCTGATCACGAAAAATGCAGACAATAGCACAAGGACTATTTCCGAAGACCTCATCTTGTTTTTGGTGATTTTCCAGATGGATGCACAAGACTCAGTGACAGGGCCTTAAGATTCATTGCAGCAAAGCATACTGAACAAAAATAGCAAGGAATGTGCAATCAGAGGAGTCCAGGGAGGATCCTGGGAGGCCCAGCACAGGCCTCTGATTTTCTTCCTCATTCACAGCCACACAGGAGCACTTTCTCTCTGGTAGAGCTGTCTGGTATGTATGAGTCACAGAATCCAAGGGCTTTGCAGCAGGTGAGTCACAGAGGTACCTCCTGCTATACAACCAGTCATGACAATCAACACTCAAGCTCCCAGTAAAAAAACCCAAGTGCCTTTATACCTGTGCAAAGCAACTCAACAAACCAGTACAGTGTGGCCCATTGCTCCAAGTATATGTAGCAAAACCATCAATCACAGCCAGATGCAGTGACTCTCACCTGTAATTCTAAAATTTTGGGAGTCTGAGGCAGGAAGATCACTTGAGCCCAGGAGTTTAAGACTAGCCTGGTCACCATAGCGAGACCCTGTCTCTATGAAAACAAAATTAAAAATTAGCTGGGCATGGTATTGCGTGCTGGTAGTTCCAACTACTCAGGAGACTGAGGGGCAAGAATTACTTGAGCCCAAGAGTTCAAGGCTGCAGTGAGCTATGATCGCACCACTGCACTCCAGCCTGGGTGATAGAGTGAGACTCTGTCCTAAAAAGAAACAAAAACTATTAGTCACTATCATAAAGAATATTTCAGAAGCCATATTTTCAGTTGTTAGCCAAGAGTCGATCATGGGGTCCTTAGAGACGTGTAAGGACTAAAAATACAGACCTGATGTGATATTAGTTTGTTGCAAAAGTAAATTGCAGTCTTTGCCATTACTTTCAATAACTCCTTCATCAGAGATATTCTGGAATGAACCAAAGGCAGCAAGCTTGTAAGATGGTATTACTCCTTAGAGTGTGCCCAGCATGCTCTACCTCCCTGCTTTTCCCATGTTTCTCCCTGTGCCTACTTCTTCTCCTGTCCTTGTTTCCAGATCCCATATACCTTTCAAGCTTCCAAAACCTTTGGGACAAACTCCCAAGACTCTCATGCTCAGCTGGTAGCCATCACTTGTATAGTCAGGACTAGCTGTGCAATTTGTAGGATCTGGTACAAAATGGAAATACCCAGTCCCTTGTTAAAAATTTATTAAAGAATTTCAGGACAGTGACAGTAAAGCATTAAACCAAGAGCAAGGCCCTCCCTGGTGCAGGTCCCTGTGCAGCTACACAGGTTGCAAAAGCCTGAAGCCAGCCCCGATTCTTTCTTTCATACGGGGTCCCAGTCGGTCGCCGAGGCTGGAGTACAGTGGCTCCATCGCTGCTCACTGCAACCTCGACCTCCCAGGCTCCAGCAATCCTTGGGACTTGGAGAAGCTGAAATACCACCATACCTGGCTAATTTTTGTACTTTTTGTAGAGACAGGGTCTCACTATGTTATCCAGGCTGGTCTCTAATTCCTAGGCTCAAGTGATCCTCCCTCCTTGGTCTCCCTAAGTGCTGGGATTACAGGTGTGGGCCACCGTGCCTGGTCTTGTGGTGGGTTTTCACTGGCATATATGAGACAGCTACAGGAAAGTGGAAAGTACCCCCACTCACCCTCAACTCCAATCACTCCTACATCCACTCCTCACCTACAAGGTGACCTTGGAAAGTCATTTTGTCTCCAGACTCCATTTCCTCCTCAATAAAACAGGAATGATAATGATACCGTGTTTATGGGGCAATTGTGAATGTTGAAAGAGATATGCACGTGAAAGCGCTTTGTAAAGTAGAGCACTATGCAAATATTAGCCTTCTCTCTGGGGCTATGTCCATCTAGATAACAAACACTGAACTATTATTTTCTCTCCCTTGGACAATACTGGAGGCACACCAGCAGACACTTTGCTTTGTTGTTGTTGTTGTTTTGAGATAGAGCCTTGCTCGGTTGTCCAGGATGGAGTGCAGTTGTGCGATCTCTGCTCACTGCAACCTCCACCTCCCAAGTTCAAGCAATTATCATGCCTCAGCCTCCCCAGTAGCTGGAATTACGGGTGCCTGCCTCCATGCCCAGCTAATTTTTGTATTTTTAGTGGAGACGGGGTTTCGCCATGTTGCCCAGTTTGGTCTTGAACTCCTGAAGTCAGGTGATCTGCCTGCCTTGGCCTCCCAAAGAGCTGGGATTATAGGCATGAACTGCCACGCCCAGCCAATGCTTTTCGTTTTCACCCTTTCTCCCCAGACATGAATACTTTTGTTATTACAGTAGTACAACATATCCTCACGTTATGTTTCTCCAATTACAAAATGTAGTTACATCTACACTTGTTATTATGGAGGAGACCCATTTGTGTCAGCCGGGTTGAGTAACTTCTGTGCATGGCTAATCTTACGCACTTTGTGTTTTATTCCAATTCAGTTTTGGAGAATGTCATTTTCAAAACTTGTCACTTTGTCACACCATAGAATACTTGCAGTCACCTCTCTACAGAATACATTTTAGGCTGGTTAATCTCTCACCTTCCTAACTACTGCTATGTGCACATAAAGATCTTGATAAATATTTGCTAAATAAATGAATTAGCAAAAAAAAAGAAAGAGAGAGGGAAAGAAAGAAGGAAAGAAAGAAAAGAAAGAGAAAGAAAGCAAAAGAAAGAAAAAGAAAGAAAGAAAGAAAGAAAGAGAGAAGGTCATAGTCTGGAGATACAAAAGGATTAAATGCTGAAACTGGTTTATGATCACCAAACATGATTCCTTTAATGTCAGAAATAGTAGTTCTCCTAGTTGCTACTTCAAGACTTCAAACACACAGAAATGCATCCCAGTATTATAGCACTGGATCCCAGAGAAGATGAGGTCCTGGTGGGGCTGACACAGAATAGGGTGGAACTAGGTGAGCCACTGATTGGCCCACGTGCATCATCATTCCCTCAATGGGAACAGTGCTCCAGCCTTAGAGTTCTGGGTTTGCTCCAATACATTCACAGGGGTCATCCCCAGGCCAGATTAGGGACTCAAGGTCAGTTCAGGAAGGGCCAGCCCAGAAGTCTGTGGTCCTTCCACTTCCTGAGTCTCCTCTTTACAGAGCCCTCTTTCTTCTTCCTTCACTACGTAACTAACACACAACGAGGGCCACTGCTGATCCCTCCTGGACCAAATTCAATCCATGGGTCATCTCTAGGACTGACCCCTTT